GCTGTTTCTTTTTAGCATCACTTAACATTTTTGAGATGTGTTGCTGTGGGGCATCAAGTCCCACATGAGCTAATACTTTTCTAAAGCAGTAAAATGTTTAACCGTTTGGCATGTTTTCTGTGTTCCACTATAAATAAAGTTAGTGTCTATGAGATTTTCACGAGTCCCAAATTGTATTTTATTTGATGCTTTTTTTTGGCATTGGGGTTGCAGAGAGAAATGCTTGGCTATTGTGTGTAGTGTCCTCAGAATGACTTAGCTGGAAAAAAAAGACAGTGACAGCTTAAATGCTTGACTCCAGGGTTTCTGTGTCCATCTTTTATATACAGTCTGTGGTAAAAACAGTTGTTGTTTTTTTGTATTTCGTGATAGAACCGAGCACAGTTATGGGAACGCATGTCTCGCTGTGTCTCTTCTGAAGCCTTTGTCGCAACTTGTTTTTAAATAAAGCGTTTACTAAGACTCCACAATGTAGTCTGCAGCTAATTTGAGTCAATAATAGCTTTCTCCCACCGTTCATCAAATCTGCAGAATGACAGACGGTAATAAATGGAATCAGGACGAGACAGATCCAGGTTTAAGTTCCGGTGAAGCGTTAGATTAAAAGACAAAGCAAAGTGTCACGATGGAAAGATAAACAGCAATCAGAGGAGATTCTCATAACCTGGCAACCCAGACCTCATTCATTATTCATGCATTGACTCACAGTGAAACCATTACTGACTTATCCTTATTATGAATGATGCCTACTGTGTGCCCACTGAGGAGGTTTTTAAACCCGTGTTTCCTCGCCCCTGTACGCAGCACCCCCCAGCACAAGCCCCGCCCCCCCACCAGCCTTTGCTCCACCCCCTCCAAGAAGAAGCCGACCACCTGCAGCTATGACGAGCAGCTGCGTATCGCCATGGAGATCTCAGCCCGGGAGCAGCAGGAGGCAGAGCTTCGGCAGCAGCAGGAGGAGGAGGAGCTGCAGCGCATCATCCAGCTGTCACTCATGGAGAAATGAGCCCCTCACCCCACACCCTCCCTCTGAACCAGGCGGTCCTGCCAGGGTGGGGGGTCTGGACTGAGGGGAGGTGGGTGGAAAAGGGCAGGTGTCCGCTTAAAATCTTGGAAATTTAAAAAGAAAACCATCTTAGAGGTAACGTCTGACCTGGCCGTCCCTCCCCTCGCCTCAGCCAGACCCTTTTCCCATGAAGCCATGAGGTGGTTGCGTCTGCCCGGCTTCACAAAGCCAGAGACGGACGCACGCCTGGTCTCTCTTCTGCCACATTGGCACTTTCTCAACAAGTGCCAGTTTACAACCAACGACACATCCGGTACAGTTTAACAGGAACTCCGTCTCGAATTAATGATTTCTTGGGGGGTGTTTTGCAAGCGTGCGTGTTTGTCTGTGCGTGTGTGTGTGTGTGCGTTTAAAACAAACCAGCTCAACGCACAGAAGGTCAATAAGGTCAACTAAACAGTTCCCCTAAATGTAGTGTGTCAGGCCAACTCACTGCTCCAGCACCTAATGCACACTCACCCCACGCTCCCGTCACCACTGAGCGCGTGTGGTTTTCAGTTCTGACTGCATCGAAGAGCGCAGCGGCGTGGAGAACGCCTTCCTCATTTGAAGGCCGATAAATAATCAGACTTCCTCAGTTTTTAATGAAAATTTTTAAAATGATGGACTAATGTGTTTCTTCTTCTTCTCTCTTTTTTTTTTTTTTTTTGATTTGCACAAAATCCAGATGTACTGTACTTGTGGGTGAAGCACATATATGACTGTTAATGGATGTTTGAGTTTGAGCACAAAGTTTAAAACAAAAAAAGAAACCCAGGCCGGGGTCTAGTTTTAAACCCTGACGCCGGGCTTTGCAAGGAGCACAGTAATGATGAGACTCCCAGATGAACACTAGGTGTGTACTAACTATACTGTATGTGAAGTAGAGCATTTATTAATAAAAACAGTAACAGGAATAAAGGTTTGTATGTGGATCGTGGGTTAGAGAAGAGTTTTCTCTGTAAATTTGCTTTTTCTCACCTTACATGAGCTGATGGTTGTTTGTTTTTGTTTTTTTGTGAGTGTGTTTCTGTGCATTATAATATTTCAGCATGGTCTGCACCCAATGAAAGGGGTGGGGGTCTTTTGTGACCTACGGCAAGTTTCACTGAGCAAAAGTTTTTTTTTTAAAAGCTGAAAACTAAAATCCAGTGTAAAATCCCCCCTCAAATGTTTTCTTAGAAATTGGCAGGGTGCAAATGTAGATGAGCTCCGAGGGACTTGTTTTGTTTTTGTGTGGAGGATGACGAGAGCAGGGACACCTTATGCTCTGTTTTTGTTTTTTTTAATTAAGTGAGAAATGTAAAACTTTCAGCATCAGCACAAACTGAGGATACCACCTTCTCTTTTCCTTCTGTAATTCATGGTTCTAAGCTTTCCCGGTTGGGTTAAGAAGTAAAAAAAATGCTCCTTTTGTTTTTTACTTTTTGAAAAAATGTTGCAAAACATTAAAAAAAGCACGGTGTTTTCATGATGTATGCTGGGAAGTGAATTAACATGATTTAAATAAAGGAAAATCTTTTTTTTTTTGGAGAGCAATGTAGAAATGTGTTATTTGATTTTTTTTTCCTTAAGCCTTTCAAATGCTCTGTAAATCCCTTCACCACCCCCCAAACCACACACACACACGCGCTACAGTTCTTCCACTGTTAAGTTCGTTTCCGTGGTCCTCTCCAGTGGAGGACAGTGACAAAAGCAATTTATTTCACACGGGATTGGGGAATGCTGCGGCGTCTGTCAGCACCAGAGAGAGCTCATCCGTTTTTAGCAGCTGCCACCTTCATCATCGTCCCTGTGACATGGATTCCCAGAGCTGAAGAAGTCTGATCCAACTGGGTTGTTTTTTTTTTTTTGTTTGGCTTAAGTTATTTTAGGCTTACAAGGGAGAAAAAAAGGGGAGCAGATTAGAGGCTGTAAAACCTCCAAGAAACAGCACTCAGGACAGAGAAAAAAAGGACGAACCAGCAGTGCGCATTATGAAAAATACCAGGACTGTGGAAGGTACCGAGCTGCAAGCCTGTGTGAAAAGAATTTGCAAAGAGCTGCTGATATAAGTCGCGTTCAGAGCATCAGTATGCAAAGAGGAAGGATGCCAATCTCAGCCTTTCTCCTCTTCTGCTCCACTGATTTTTATTCCCTCTCCTCATGATAAACACACACACACACACATATTTTATTTGAAAATCCTTCTGCTGTGTCTGCTGAGGTGGATTTAATTGGTGAAAACGTCAGGGGATCTCAGCTTTTCCTCTTGATTCACTTAAACCACCAAAGAGTCTTTTGGTCTTCATATATGGAGCCTGTGAGTTTTGATGTCTTAGTTATCTCCAGCCTCTCTTTTTTTTTTTAAAAGCAGATTCAGTCCTTTAATGTCAGTCTGTGCCTCGTGTCTGTGTGTGGGTCTCTCAGCAGGGGCTCCGGTGGCCTACATCTCAGTATTTAATTACCCACATGAAACAGTAGGTAAAATGTCAGCCTGAAATAAGCTGCGCTGAACACTGATGGAGATCATTTCCCACTGGAGTTGGCACTGACGTGCTTAAAAGATCGGTTAGTTGTAGTTAAAAACGAGAGGTAAAATGTATTTCTATTAAGGATGTGCTTTTCAGTCATTCGAAAAGAGAAGCTTGGTAGTGGCAATACCCGATGTCATGAAATCCAGTTTTAGTGTGTGGATCAGCCTGTCCAGCAGGTGGCGGTATATTTAAAAGCTGGCCTCATTTCTTTGCCTTACATGGGAGTGGCTAAAAACAGAAAAACTAAGGAGTCACTACAGTTAAAACAAACTCACCACCTTTATTTACTGCTAAAGCAATTAAGTAATAATAATAATAATAATAATAATAATAATAATAATAAAAAACAAAAACAACATATCAGCTTTGTCCTGGTTTAATTAAAAATCTGAATAAAGACATGTCTGCCAGCTTTGAAAACAAAACCACAGAGACAAGTCTACTGAGAACAGTGCAAAACAACAATCCTCCCCGGGGTAAGAAACACGTCTCAAATTTTTTTTAAAAAGAAAAAGAGTCATCTAAACAGTAAAGTGCATGGTTTGAGAAACAAAAGCCCCTCTGGTTGGAGTTTTAGAAACTCTGAACAGGCAGCGAGGGTCACACTTAAAAAAAAAAAAAGGGGGACACTGATATAAATGAGTGCATGAGCACCGTTCAGTCTTAGTTTGGACATTCATGACACTGTACAGACGAACCTGAACTCCAGTTCATACAAACATCCAGTGGTTTCCATGCAAATATATGCTCATCATTCATGTCTTGCATACTATACACATAACACCGGAGAACACACACAGGGGGTTACAGCTGACATTCATACACATCATGCGGTCTCTTTCACACACATAAGTGCAGCTTCAGTCGCATGTGTTCCAGTCTTGCTGATCTGAGGTTACATGGTGTTGTATAGCAGAGTGACGGCTCGCTGCTGCTTCTTCTCAGCGGAAGCTTTGCGAGAACGTCTTGACGAGTGTCCTCTCCCCGGCTGACGGGATGCAGGGACCGTGCTGTTGCTACTGCTGCTGTTCTCTGACTCCTCCCGTTCTCCTCTTTCCCCTCTGGTGGAGGGGGAGAGGCCGAGGGGTGGAGGGGATGTGTCATCACTGCACGAACCTGTTCTTTCAGAGCACGGCCTCTGAGCCAGCACTTTCTGCTTCTTCCATGTGTCGTCCGGGTGAGACTGGGGCGACGAGGGCGAGTCAGGCGAGTGCGACAGTGTTGCTCTGTTGTGCGTCCTCAGGTCCAAGCTGCTGAGGTCATGAGCCGACAGCTCCAGACAGTCCAGTTTAGCCAAGGAGGCCGATCTCTTCATGAGAGACGGGGGGGTGAGCCCCGCCTGGCGGATGCGCGCCTCTAGCTCTGTGGCTCTGTGCCACTCTGTTGGCTCCAACAAACTCCTCTGCTCCTGCCTCTCTAGGAGCTGCTGCCCCACTTTCAGAGCTGGAGGGCTCTCTTCAAAACTCACCCCTTTATAACTTTCTGGGTCTGTGTCCATGGCGTCTCTTGGACCCTGAGGCTGCCCCAGTTCTTGTGCTCGACTGTCTGCCGTCTCGAGGGTGATGCCCTCGTGAAGAAAAGCCTGCAGCTCTCTCAGCGTCTGCTGAATCTTCTCCAGCTCCTGGCTGCCTCGGGCCAGCCTCTTCTGGGCAGCGCAGACGGGGCCGCAGCCCTCTTGCCTGACCCGAGAGCTTTCATCCGTGTCCGACTCCTGCAGCGTCACGCCATCCAGAGTCATTAGGTTCGAACAGTCCTGCAGGTTTTGGCTATGGAGCTGGCCCCGTCTGAGAGACTGGGCTGAGGTATCTTGAGATGATGCTGATAACTGCTCAGCAGAGGCCAGTGATGATGTCACTGTGTGGCTATCTGTGGATGTGTGCACACTGACAGGTATAGCACCAGAGACTTGGCTGATATCTGACTTTGGGGAACATGAAAGGTCTTGGAGGTCGCTTGTGCCTGAGAAATCGGGTCTTTTGTGTGACCCCGTGTGCTTCTCTTCATCTTTGGACGTAGCATTAGCAGAAACAGCCATGTTCTCTCCCTGAGTGATCCTTTGTTCTGCAGCGTGCATGGGGGAGTGGAGCAGCACGTGTTCGGAGGATACGGACAGTCTGACAGGAGGTTGTTCGCTGCTGGGCGAATGCAGCGGAGACCGCTGACATGCCACCATCTCCAGTTCCTGCTTCAGCTTCTGCTCCAGCTGCTTGGTGGCCCGCCGCACGGAGCCCGCCGGCCAGTCGCACAACAGCGTGGTGGGAGGCTGGGGGTGTGAAGGTGGAGTCGAAGAGGTGTGCGTGACTTCAGAAGACTCCCCCTCTTCCTGATGTTCCGGTCGGATGACCTGAGGACTGTGAGAGGATGGAGGGAGTGGAGAAGATGAGGAGGAGGAAGGAGTCTGAAGAGATGCGGCGGGGTGTGATATGGCTTCGATCTCAGTGACAATATGGCGGACTGATATTCCGTTGTCGTGGTGAGTGTGATGAATCCGGTCAGGACTGGTTTTGTCAGAGCTGTCATCAGACTCCTGAGAGACAAAGAGAGGATACAGACTTTATTAGCACAGCCATTGTGAGGCTTTTATTCCAAGCAATGACTTATTAGCTCAGTCCTGTTTACACCAGTTTACACTCTTTTATAATCCACATAATACTACTGACAACTCGTTATAGGAGGAGGTTTGGTCTTGATTATTCTCAAGACCAAACCGGGGCGATCGTGGCTCAAGAGTTGGGAGTTCGTCTTGTAATCGGAAGGTTGCCGGTTCGAGCCCTGGCTTGGACAGTCTCGGTCGTTGTGTCCTTGGGCAAGACACTTCACCTGTTGCCTACTGGTGGTGGTCAGAGGGCCCGGTGGCGCCAGTGTCCGGCAGCCTCGCCTCTGTCAGTGCGCCCCAGGGTGGCTGTGGCTACAATGTAGCTTGCCATCACCAGTGTGTGAATGTGTGTGTGAATGGGTGGATGACTGAATATGTAAAGCGCTTTGGGGTCCTTAGGGACTAGTAAGGCGCTATATAAATACAGGCCATTTACCATTCTCTCATTGTCCAGCAGGTGTCACTGTGATCAGCTCAATCTATCTGCTACCACACAGTCCTCACATTCACTCAGATTCCAGTTTACTTCCCTCTGATTAAAACTTTGAATAGTATCCACGGTTTTATTTTAAAGTTCATTTAAATCTCCTAAATCAAAGGATTTGATCGAAATTTTTAAATTTTTCTCTTTACAGCTGATGATGATGATGATGACAAAGGTCACTCTGAAAAGTGGTCGTACAACTGAGATGCTATTAAAAAAAACAAAAAACAAAACAAAAAAACAAACAGGAAGAAGCAGCTGAATGAAACCTTACCTGACTCATCTCATTCCTCTGCTCCTCCTCGTCTTCGCTGACCTCTGTTTCTCTGTCAGTTGACAGAGACGACCTTTGCTGTGCCTGCTCTGAAAGCGTCCGATGTCGGCCATCTTTGGCCAGCCCCAGAAACTTCTCCCGGGCGCTGAAGAAGTCGATGCTGTCCGTGCTGTGGGTTGATGACCCGTCTGCCTCACCGCGGGTATCCAACTCGCTCGGGTTGTTGTTGTTGTCGTCGCTGGGAGCGAAAGCCAAGACCGGAGGCGAGGAAGTGGGAGTCGCAGGGCTGAGCGGAGTGTGGCTGTTGTTCGTTAAATCAGACAATGATTGGTTGATCATGTCCGAGTCAGTGGATCCCAGAGTGAGAGGAGAGACTTCCTCTGAACTGCTTCTGTCGGGTAAGATGAGGAACAGCTCCTCTGGTTTGCCCACTGAGCAGGACAGATGTGTGGGAGTGTCCCTGTGAGCGCGCTGCAGTTCAGGGGTGGGAGGTAGGATGTGGAGCGATGGTGGTGGAAGTGGAAGAGCGACGGGCACAGTGATGGCCACGCTCGCCGAGCTGCCCTGCGTTTCCTCTGGGACCACGGTGGCTGCTCGGGGTCTGGGGAGGGGAAGCAGGCGGGGGTCTGCGCAATCTGATCTGACCTCCTGAACCAGCGAGTCACACATTCCGTTGGAGAGCGCGTGCGAATCTTCGGGCTCGGGGCAGAGCGCCTGCAGCACGGCCACACCCAGGAAGTGATGCACAGACGGGGAGGAGGTGTTGTTATTGTGAGAGTCAGCGCGGTTCAAGGAGGGAGATGAAGGCTTCGAGTCCAGGCGATCTGATAGGTCGCTGTCACTGTGGGAACGCCATAGCTTATTATGCCTCTGTTTGCTGAAGAACAAGAGGGAGAGAAGAGTTCGTTAGCTCCATAATTCCTTCTAAGGAACTGTACATGTTTCTGCATGAGAGCACACCTTGCCAGCAGAATTCCCTGATACTCCTCCAGCTGCTTCATGAAGGAAGGGTTCGGCTTGGTGACGGCCCGTCTTTCCTTCACATAGTCAAAGGCGGTGTCCAGGTTCCAGCCATACTCCTTCATAGCGTAGGCTATCACTGTGGAAGCAGAGCGGCTCACGCCCATCTTACAGTGAACCAGACACTTGGCACCGGCTTTCCTAAAGTGGGAAGAGAAAAAGGCAGGGTTGAAGCACATGAACTAGTGAGAAAGAGGAGCTTAAACTGTGTGTGTGTGTGTGAGTGTGTGTGTGTGCGTGTGTGTTTGTTTGTGTTTGTGTGGGCAGAAGCCTACTTGGCTTTGGTGATGAACTTGTACGTGTCGTTCCAGTACTCCAACAGGTTGGTGGCCTCCTCGTCGTACACTCTGATGTTGTGGTATTCAAACATCCCTGGAAAAAAGTTGTCGATTTCCCGGGTCACATTCAGGATGTAGCGCACTCTGGAGGAGAGACGCGAGGAGGCGTGTCAGTGTGATCTCATGGATGTGACGATAATAAACGAGCTACTCGTTTCAATCGACTTTAACGAGAAAATTTATTTAATACATCAATTTTAATCTTAGCTTAAGTGACTGATCTCTTACCCACTGTTTTGCAGCTCCTCCAGGTTAGAAGCGTTCCACTCTGAACCCTATAAACAACACAGGTCCAGTCATTATTAACAGCATGCGCCAAGTTTTTTTATTTACAATTAGAAAGACAAAACAAGGTTAGATGCAGCTTTTTACTGAACCTCAAGTCTGACATGACAAACCTTCACAGGCTAATGGAATCAAAGCCCAATTGTCTCACCAGGAAGACGTGATCAAATATTTCCGTGGGGCTGTCCATCTGTCCCAGGATCACAATCATCTCATTGTCTATGAACTCTTTAAACTCCCTCAGGTTGCACACCATCTGGATCTCCAGCTCTGTTCGGATCTGTGAAAGTTCAGGCAAACAATAAATGGTCTGATGACAGCTGATAACAGCAGCAGGGAAACGCAGAAAATCAGGGCATAAGTACATCTTTACAAGTAATAAAACCACAGACTGTACATAAAAGATGACTGCAGCCTCTGCGTCTGAAAAGTGAAGCCAGTGGCGTAAACATGCATTCTTTCTCACGACCATCGTGAGGAGACATCTGGGCTGCAAAAGGAAGTCTGAATCAAGCTTTTCAGAAAATGACCCTGTCGCTCTTGATTTATGACCTCTGTAAGCACTTTAGTGATGAGTGTATAGCCCCAGTGTCTAGTTTCAATTCTAATTTAAATTTAAGTTACTTTGCACAGAAAGGCCCCTCTCCTGGAACCAGTTTCCAGTTTGGATTTGGGAGACAGACACCATCTCTACTTTTAAGATTAGGCTTAAAACGTTCCTTTTTGCTAAAGCAATTGGTTAGGTGGTTAGGATTCAGGTGACCCTGAATCCTCTCTCTTCTACAGTATGTCCTTTTATCCTGTCTTTCTTCCCTCACTCGCCATCCGGTCGTGGCAGATGGCCCCGCCCCTCCCCGAGCCTGGTTCTGCCGGAAGTTTCTTCCTGTTAAAAGGGAGTTTTTTCTTCCCACTGTTGCCAAAGTGCTTGCTCATTGGGGGTCATATGATTGTTGGTTTTTCTCTGTATGTATTACTGTAGGGTCTACCCTAAAATATAAAGAGCCTTGAGGCGACTGTTGTTGTGATTGGTTGCTATATAAATAAAACTTAATTAAATTGAAAACGGACAAATGACACATGACTGAGGACGCCAATGTTTACGTTGTGTAGACAGCTGGTTTGAAAGAGGAGAGCAGGAGGCCATCTACACAAGGCCATCTGTTCACTTCACAAGCCATGAGAGATGTCATGGTGACTATATCCACCTTTAATGTGCAGTCTATAGTTAACACCTACATCTAAGCACCAAATGTAAATTTCACTGTCCCCTCACCTCCTTTGAGGTGACGTTCTCCAGGTCCTTCTGCATCATTATCTCTCTGAGGCGCGTCTTGATCAGCCGTTCTGTGCGCTCCCTTTCTGTGGGCCTGCACATAAAACACACAAAGACCTCCATTTAAAAACAACTTTAACACTTGGCCAAAGTAAAAAAAAAAAAAAAAATTCACTTTGAAGAGAGCCACCTTCACAGCTGCATTACATTCATGTTCACTTTTACGCAAGTCTCAATGACATTACTTCTACCAGAGAACTACGGCTTTGTTTTGTGCTCCCGTTTGAGTTTGTGCTCTGAGATTTTCTGTTCCCCTCTCCAGTTTCTCAGAATTAGACAAAGTCCCCTTGTAGGATCTGCTTCTTGTTGTGCCGCGCTGTGTTCCTAAGTGTTCTGGCTGGGGGCCTTTCCGACGTCACACCGATGATACCAACAAGTGGCCTAATTGCCTCTCTGGAGAGAAGAGCTCAGTTTGTCTGTGAACGACTTCTTCTAACATTTTTTCTTTTGTTTTTTGCTTCAAACTGATTCCGGACATCAGCACACAGCAGTGTGGGTCAGCAGCTACAAAAAGGGGAAGTACAGTGACCACAGGTGTGTGACACTGCACAGATGAAAGCATCATCTGTGTTGGAAATGAGGTAGGAGGGGGGCTTGTTTAGCTCAACCCTGAACATTTCCCTGACCTCATGAGAACGAGTTGAGTGGAACGAGGGTTGAGTGAGAAAACAACAACAACAAAAACTGACACGGGTTATTTACTGACATGCAGTAACACTTTTACCTCACAACAAGCCTCCACTTGTCTGCAGACGGCCTGAGGGAGGGAAGCCTAGTCAGGCAAAAACACAGACTACACGAGGGCAAATGACGACATAAGGACCGGAGCTAATGAGTAAATGAATAATGGAAATTTTACGCAGCTTCCCTGAATTGCTTGCAGGTAGATAAGATTATTTTTAGTTTTGGGGCGGGGGAAAGCCATGTCAACAAACACTGACATGTCACGAGGCTTTAGCAGCCTCCCTGTCCGGGAAAACCAACAGGAACTGTCTGTGTTTGGCTGTAAGGGGCAGAGCCAAATCACTCCGAGAGAGACTGTGCGTGTCTGTGTGTGCGAAGTGTTTAAACGTATGGTTTGAAGTGGCTTTTTTTCTGCCCGAACTGTTCCTCATTATTTCCTCAAGTAGCCCCCGTCTTTGTGCTCACCACCTGCTCCTGTCTGTTTCTCTGCGACTCTACTTACCTATGAGTTTATCTGGACTCTACTTTTCCATAAGTAAATCAAGACAGCTAAAGCCTTGGCTATTTTAGACTCCAGAAGACCCCCAAAGAGAGTGTGTGTGTGTGTGTGCGTGAGGGGAGAGAGGCAGACAGTCTAAATAGGTAGCAGAGCATGTGACGAAGGAGCAGGGAGGGGAATTTCCCTGGTATCAGTGGAGACAAATCTATTGAAGTCACTGCTTGTATTTTATTATGTTTCCATGTAAATATGTTGATAAGGCAGCGTTTTTCATCATGTTGTGAACACGTTAATGATTAGGCACCTTTGTAAACATCAGCGCTTCAGGCTTTTGTTTTGGTCTGTTGTTTTTGCCTCTCCTGGAAGGTTAGAGAGGGCACGTGGCCTCATTCCAGAGTCCATGGTTCTGCAGACTGCAATATTTTAGTTTGGGGATGTAGCAACACTTGTTATGCTTGTTAGGCAATGCTGTTGGGAAGATGCGACTGCAACATATTTTTAACTTTTCACAGAAACAGCCACGGTGAAGGTGAATTTGTGATGAAACTGTGTACGACTGTGTGAGCAGTTACTGCTGTGAATTTCTGGGGAGCAGCGTGTTTACCCTCTAGTCTATGTCATGTGCATGTGTGCACATCAGGCGCAGGGTTTATGCCACACAATTCTCAAAGTGGTTTGCAGTGCTTCTCTGAAAAACCCTTTCCTTAATGTGGCCATCCTAATCTACTCACAGGTCTGTGAAGAGGACGGGTGAATTGGCACGGTGCGATTCGACATCCTGCATGGCGTTCCATTCGTTGATACACAACTGGCTGGATGAGACTCTGCTCTGGTAGTAGCTGACCCAGGTCAGGAACAGGCTGCCTGGGTAGTAGTTGTGGCAGCGAGCCACCTCGCAAGCTTTGTGGAGCGACTGGAGGGCTGACCTGAGGGCAGACAGTTGAAAGCACGGAGATTTTTCACATGAGCAAATGTCACTGGGAGGAATGAAAAGTGCAGAAAGGAATTTGGACTTATACAAGAGTAAAAGTTATGTGAGAGTGAAAATAAAAAGGATGGATGTGTGAAGAATGAATAAAAACATGTGAGAACTAAACAACAGGGCATAGGTTGAAGCTATAAAGAGGCATAACACGATCATACTCAAAGGAGGAAGTCAGTCGGGGACAACAAAATAAAGATATGAAGAGGCGGTTCTGACACGTGAGAGGGATTGAAAGCAAAAACATGATAAGACAACAAATGAAAAGATAAGAAAAAGTGAGGAAAAAACAGTCTGGAGGTCAAAGTTAAGGGTGGAGCACAATGGACACATTGTTTGCAGGCCAACAGCTTCACACGGCTGTCATTCTGGTGGAATAAATAAAGGTTGCTCACCACATGGCCTGGACAGACACTGGTTTGAAGACGTGAACCCTGTTGACTGTCGACACACTAAAGCCACTGTGGAGATGCAAAGAGACAGGTTAGAAAACACAAAGCTCACAAACAAGTAAACAAAGTCATCAGAGCAGTCGGGCAGCTGCCCCAGGGAGCAGTAAGAGGAAGCAGGGAGTAGGTGTGGCGTCTTACCCATCTCCATCCAAGTGGATCATAGTGTCGCTCCAGAGAGGGAGAACCAGACCCACCGTGCAGCAGCTGCCAGAGAAGATCGACAAGGTAAAGACAGTGAAACAAGATGCACTGGTTTGCTTACTTTATCCTTTAGCTGAAAAAACTTTCACTGATTTATTGAATTTCTCTGACTGTGTCAACTACACCACAGTTACAGTATGAGGACGATCCAATTCAAGAAGAAAAAAGAAATCTGCATAGCAAAAACATAAATTCTTGAGTTATTATAAAACTACAATAAGACAGAGAAGGTGTACCTATCAGAGGAGACAAAGTCCATGCCGAGCACGATGCTCTCCTCTGTGTCCTGTCTACCATTGGTGGAAACCACCACCATGTAGCGGGTTACCTGAGGGTAGGCGCTCTCCAGACGCACAGCCTGCAAGAAAAGAAGGACAGGGGCAAACTGTAAAATCACCTGTGTAATGTCTTTGACTCTTTACAGCCCTGGAAATCAACCCTTTATCATTCAAGGGCCTATAGATACTTTATACCACAAGACTGGCATTTAAAACTCTGGATCGTGAATATGAGATATGCAGGGACAACCTAATGACGTTTTAACCAGTCCTTTTTTTAAAATCCCTGTCTCATAAGCCCTTTTCATTAAACATGCAGCAGGGACATCAGGGGAAAGGCGAGCACACTTATAGTACACTTAGAGTTCTGCAAGGTTCATGTGAGGGTGGTGTTGTTGGCACAGCTGGAAGAGCTGAGACTTCCTTTGCCTCATAACTGTTTATGTTTTCAAAAGCCAATCCATGTTTCAGTTCTTAAGACCTTAATCAGATGCTCTGGAATATGCTCTCTGATCACAGGACCACACACAACTGACCTTTGTTATTATATTTATTTATGTGTGCTTGTTACTAACCAGTCTGATTGTGTCTTCTGGGCGCAGCACAGTGAACATGGTCTGAAGATGCTTCTGGAGGTCACCTGGACAAAAACATTTTCAAAGTATGAGACGACATCAGATAGAAAGTGTCATTTCCCATGTGGATCCGTTTTGTCTGTGACTTATTAAGATGTTTTTGGGTTTTTTTTTCCTATCCAGCAAACAAGTTCACCACTGCTGAGCTTATCTGCTCTTTTGTGAAACAGCTTGACAGAAATTAACGCCAGCCGTGACCCATGATGCTGTAGAGGAATGTCCATTTGAAGACATACTGTGCTCTTTAATCTCAAGTTTTTCCACAGAGTTCATTTGTGAGGTTTGGGGTGAAAAAGGGAGTAAGAGGAAGTTTTGGGAGATGGTGCAGCTGCTGTTTGTGTGGGCGCTGTAAGTATGAGGGTTTACCTGTGTGTTTGTTCCTGCGCTGGCTGATTCGAGGTGCGGAGTTCTGCGTGGGACTGTTACCCCTGGGAAGGAAGAGGGCTGCACCTTTAACTGTGAGGAAGCTCTCACTGATACTGGAAGAGAAGAGGAAAATGAAGCATGAATAGAAGCCTAAAAAGCAAACTTATCTAATCATAACTGGTATTTTTTTGCGTAACTTAATTTGAAATCGCTTCCTTCCACATGCCGACCCCGGATGCCCATAACAGGCACAAGACGGGGACACGGACTAGTAGAGCGTTGTCGTGCCCTTGTGTCGCCGTCACAATGCCCCATTCAGCTCGCCTCTGGTGTGCAGGCTCCCCAGATCAGAGCTCACAGACCGATGCGAACAAAACAACATCCAAGCCCCGATGTGAACTCAGAACACAATGTTCTCTGGTCCTCCACACAGCTGGATTACACACACAAGACTTACTCACACTAACAGCTGCCAGGAGGGAGGGATAGGGGGAACTGAGGGGGACCGGGGGTCCGAGAGGGAAGATGGAACGAGTCCCCCTCCTACACAATGTTTTAGCTGCGATAAGAGTTGGCCAGCGCACTATACTTCAATCCAAAGCAGGCCTAGTTAAACGGGCTTTTTGCTCCCTTTGAGACACTTAATCTTATTAACTGTGACTGAGGTCACTGCATTGAGGAGGAAGATGCATTATAAACTGAGGCCAATGTTTTAACTGGATACCAGTTAAAGTGTCGTGCTTGCATGTATGATTGACCAGGTGTATGTTTAGTGTACGGAGGTACACTAACCTCACAAGATAGCTAGAAAACAAGTTAAAACATCTACTCCTGCAGCAGCTAATGATAACCATGCGATCATTAAAGCATAACTTTAATGATGCTAAGCGAGAAGTCTACCACTTGGCCAGCCGGGCGCTCGGCTGCTAGTGTTTCATGAGTGGATACAGAGAGAAAGAAAAGAAAAGAAAAGTACTGCTGCTATGAAAATTATGCTCTTAACAAATATAATTAATATATAATTAAGTAACTCTTCCAGACCAAGGAGAAATGCATCATTATAACAAAAACACATCGGCTGTATTCACTTTGCAGGTTTTGCCAAAAATGACACCACAAGTCAAGCTGGCAAGAATGCAGCTGATGTAGAAACAGATGTGCGTGCAGCCACAATGATCCTAATCAGCAAAACGTGAGTCTTAAAAGTTAAACACATTCTTAAGGAAGGTCCTTTTCTGACTTTTTTTAAAAGATGCAGTAAATAAACATCAGTTCAAAAAAGAAATAGAAAAAAAACAAAAACAAAACCACTGCAGATACAAATAGTTAGTAGAGGAAACACTCTTCCAAGCAGTCGTCCAACCTGTTCTGCTCAAAACAAGGGCGGCTTTTAGCTGGCAGCTAAAACAAGGAACTGACGCGATAAAGATCACTGGGATTAATGAATGTGAGGTGATGACATCAAATCTCTGAGGTCAAACAATCAGGTATTTGACTGATATGTTTATTTTGATGCTAACATGACATAACATGCATAAATATGCCGCGAGCATATTTTAGCTTTAGCAGCAGGCTTACACTCAATGAACCCAACTTGGAGTTCATCAAGTTCTACAGTTTCACACTCAAAACAGCAAAAAAAAAAGTCCAGTGCTGTCTGTCATTTAGTCTTCCTGTCATCCCCCCTCTTGTCTGTAACTTCATCTCTCTATCCTCCCCGCCATCCAACTGCCCTTCCTGAGTTTTGCTGAGACCATAGATATGGAGAATCAGGAGACAACGCAGGAGGAAAAAAACAAAAAAAGACTGACTTGTGCTGGGCTCATTTCCCATAACCCACCCACCCTTGAACCAGCTGTTTCCTCTTACTCCCCCCTCTTTTTTTCTGTTTTCTGCATTTCGCACAACTTTGTCCTACTTTTAAGTTTCTGTCATTCTCCTCAGTTCTTGCTGCATCATGCCCCACTTACACTTGTGAGTTTCCTATGTGCTGTACTTGGAAATGACTGTGTACAGCAGCGCTACTGTACAATGTCATGTAATGCAACACTGCTACTCTTCCCGAGAACCTGGTGTGGAGGGTCATGCGCGTGCAAGCAAACGCGCACTTGTATTCCTGCGCACAGACACACAGACAGAGTAATGTAAGCCCCATGCTTTGAAAGGTGGGGGGCTGTGAATGACTCTCATATACAGCTTCTAAAAATACAGTAGTCCTTTAAAAGTCTCAGCAGTCGAACTGTACATAGAAGCTTCTCTTTGACGCTGCAGAGGGTTCACACTGAAGCCTGCGTGTGCTGCTGTAATACTGTACTCAGGCTAGTGCTGGATGAATACAAACGAGTAAAGCCAGTTAGAAGCACAGAATATCATCACCCAGAGGAATCTTACCAGGGTTGCATCGAATGATCAAGAGATTGATTATTTTGTTTAAAAAGAAGAGTTTTTGGAAATAAACAAATAAATAAATAATGAACATTCACCAGTTCAAGCTTCTCTAATTTGACATTTTACTAAACAAGATTAATGTCCTTGAGCTGTGAACAGTTTTATCTGGACATTTTTCTTGATTTCTGATATTTTATAGACAAAATTTTCAATTCATTAATTAATAGGGCACACTATAGAGTCATTAGGGACATAATTCTTAATTTCTGCACCATCACACACATCTGCTTTGAATCTAATGGGTAAATCTTTGAATCACTTCAAGCCTCTCATTAAATTAGAATGGTCAACTCATGTTATGCAGCTGCCTTTAAGCCGAACTCATTTTAAATGATAAATTAGTAATGTGATATGGCACCGTCAGACCGATAACACTGCAGTCTGTAGGAGTGTATGAGAGAAAGATAAGAAATTGCCAAGACAGTTGAAAATATGCACTTTCAGGCTGATTTAAAGGCCAGCGCTCTACAAACATGAGGACACAGCAAAGGGGGAAATGGAAAGAGGGCAACGAGTTCAGTTAAATTGGGCTCCACAGAGCCAAGTGGACTGTGAAAGATGGGAGGTAAAGAAAGAAGACCCGGTCAGAGCATGTAGCTGAGAGCAGGGTGGGTCATCTTTTGGCATTAAGCCATCCCAGGCTTTTGGGCTAAAGCAAAGCTGTAGGTACATGTTAGGGCAACAGCCACAGACACAATCATCACTATGTAAGGACCACTCCACATAGTGGGCAGATAGCTGACTGACCCCCTCCTCCAGCCTGTGCCCATATTAGTCACTCTCAGGAGGAGAGTGGGATAAATATAGGGTCTGCTCTGTGGAGGGCAGGTCCTCCTAAGGCTTTAGGAGTTTACAACAGAGACGGATACAGCCCATGAGAAAGGCAGGGAATTAGCTGCTGTGTATGTTTATGTGTGTCCACATGTCTGCAGGTGCACGTGGGCCCTGATGCCTGGAAGCATAAGCCATGAACATGCAGAAAAAAAATGACAGACAGAAGACCAAAGGGAGAAGTTATGTTCGTGTAGTGTCACGGTGAGCTAGCAGACCCACAAACCTCAACGTCCTCATTCAAGTCTGGCTGAAGGCCTGTGTCACACGAAATCTCAAGAGGTTACATGTTTTTGATTGTAATTTTAATCAAAGCGCATTTCCACAAAGTCTGCCCGATGCTAAACAGACTGTTGGACAAACATGGAAACTCAAATAGCAGATGAGGGCCTCTGGAGGAGAAGAGGTCAGGACCGATGAAGAGACAAAATTCGGGTCAAACTAAACATAGACTTTTGTTTTGCTAGTACAGTCGGCTTGCTGCCCTTTTCCCCTGGCTTCTGCAAGCGTGCAATTAAGTACCACAAGTTTCACTACTGTTTCTTTGGTAATCTGATAGACAAAGGTATGAGTGCTGGAAATGAACATACCTGAGTCAGGCACTCGAGGCTATTCTCAGAAGGATCCGGACTACATTTTACACTTACAGTTACAGAAAGAAATCTTTTTTTAATGTGGCCGAGGCAAAATATAGATGAGCAGTGGTTGTACCTGGACACAATTAAGCACTAATAGAAACTTGGCAACAAACAGAATCATCTGTTTTGTCTGATATCAGGCGATTTACTTAAGCTAATTATACAAACTTCGAGAAACCTACTTAACGTTAAAGACAAATCGCCCACACACAGCCCAGGTAAGGACCTATAACCAGGTGCCTGTATCACTGTTCAGCTGATAGTCTCTTCCGCAAACGCTCAAACAAAACATCTTTGTCACGTTTCAGTCCCATCCGTTTGCTTTGGACAATGTGTACAAAACACAAACACGGATAAAAGTGGAGGAGAGGGTTTACCAGTATCTTTTAAAAACTGATGGCACAACAACAGTGTTCCAGGTGTCGTTTATCCTCAGGCAACACTTAAAGTCCAGTGACAGCCTCAAAGCCTGTAATTACGTGCAGAAACCTGGTTAAAAATCAGCATTTGTCTGACATAAACAGACATGTATGTGTGCACACAAACAGAAAAAAATGAAAGCACGTCCCCTGTGTCGTGATAAGGGCTCGAAACCATCTTTGGGCACTACAAAAAACTGCTGATCACAACAAGCCACTAGCATCATGCTGTATTTCAAACAAAGCCAGGAAGTCAGAAAGATTCCCACATCTGCTGCTGTTTACCAGACACGCGACTGCCAGTAAGCACTGTGTGCCTGTCTCAGAGTAACTTCTTCCCATAAACCAACCTTGTGCAAACTCACAGAAAAAAAAGAAAGAAAGAAAAACCATTTCCTTAACGAGTGGGTGCAGCTCTAATAAAAGCTAAACGTTCAGTTTACTCAATAACTTTGCTACACTGTCACGTGTAAACCAACTAAAAAAAACAATGCAATCAAGACACACACTTTGCCCTTGACTTTCCTGAAAACCATAACAGAGGGCCCGTTCTCATGCGCTCGCTGACTCCATGAAAACAGCCCGACACTGGAACTATATACAAATTGGTTAATGCTGATTACATAAGCTTTTAATCTAGTTTAAGTAGTTTTGAAGAAGTTTTGCATTGATTTTCTTTTTCCCCCTCTTCCCCAAATTTGTTGAGATTATCTGAGACAGCACCACATGAGTTTAGAAATACTGGAACACAGTAGGCCTTTGATCTGTCCTGAAGAGCAGACTCATCTTCACCACATGTACAAGTCAGCTAAATCCTTTTACATCTCTCAGGCAAAACCAAGCCTTCACCCAACTTTGCCTTGATGTCTGCAGGCAGAGAGAGATAACAGATAAGACCACTGGATGATAAAGTAATCATCCATCACTGACATCTCAACAAAGGGCATTAGTTCTAATACAGAACAGGATATATGGACAGCTTATAAAAAATTCTGATGAGCAGCCAGTTGTGCAGTACTATTATTGGTTTACGAGACACACAACAGTCCTAACTGTTTGGGATTATTTTAAAAGTCACATTCAGATGCTTATTGCTTAAATTAACTGTCAGGATCCAGGTGGATACAGGTCAGTTTGAGTCTTTTCCTATAAAATATTAAGACACATTAAGCCACTGACCTCAAACATAAGTTTAACTTGTCACATATCATAGCCAAAAGTAAAGAAAACAAAAAAATTATTTACAATTTCTTCTTTCTCCACTTTATTTACCTCATCTTCCTCAAAAGCTCTTATTTGTATTTCAGTCATGATACTAAACACCAACATGCCCCCTGCCACATAAATCTCTTATTATGGCAATCGGGCGACCCCTTCCTTTCCCCCATTTCTCTCCACTAAGTATACCTAAAGAGGAATCCCTTGCTTAATTCCATGTCCACACCTGGAAACAGGTTGGATGAGTCACACAGGCTGAAGAGCACTTATGTCTTAGTAAGGTCAAAAAGGGAGTACTGTGATGAGTAAGACCCTGCTACGTCACCAGGAAATACATTCATCAACCCTGATATTACAAAACCCACATATTGCATCAATTCACTAGAACACCGAGTATTGTGGTAAATGATAAAATTGCTACAAGATGAAATAATGGTGACAATCTGGTGTGTATTTTAAATCTTTATTAGCACACTCGAGTTTCAGACAGTACGCCCACAGTCTACTTCCACGTTGGAGTTGAAGTTGTGCTGGAGAAATTTGAATGGAGACCCTGTTACTTAACGGCAGCTTTACTCTGTGTCGCAGTCCCACCTACTTATTGTTTTTAGACACACACACACACACACACACACACACACACACACACACACACACACACAGTGTGCCGTCTAATTGTTTATTCAATATCAAACAGCCCACTGTCACTACTGTTCACAGCATGCCACTCTTGTGCAACTTACAGCTGGTTGATCTCATTTTTTGACACCACCGCGTCGTCGCTGAAGTAGGGTACCATCTTTGCCCCGCAGCAGGAGCAGAAGCTGACTGGCGACGAGCAGTCGGAACCGGCCACCGTGCCGAGGGTCATGCCGTCGAGGGCAGCGCGGAGGGAGCAGAGAGCGGCAGGTGTTCTTAAAGTCCGATGGAGAACTTTTACTCCTCTCCCACAGTCATCGCAAACAGTCTTCCGTGGGAGGATTTTACGGCGCGATTCGACAAAAAGTGAGGAAATATTCCTCTAAATATTTCACACAAAAATAAGACGTTTCCAAATCGTAGTTCTGTTACAATAAATAAGGCAGGAAGATTGAAGCTAGCACGCCGTGTTCCTGCCCCCGTCAGCAGCGTGTCACTGTCCAGTATTTCCCCAAGAAAGCAAAAGCCATTTTAAAAGAGGATCACCGCAGAGTTTTCTAAAAACATATTCATCCCTGCCACAAGAGAATATCCTTTACCATGTACAGTACTGAGGCGTATGACTTGGGTCAAACACTTGCTGGAGAAGTCATAGCAGGGAGGAGCTGGAGCCACGTGTTTTTGGGAAATATGGGGAAGCCAATGAGGGCAAGAGGGAAGTGGGACTGACGGCACTAGCAGCACCTCTGCATCGACGCTTTTGAAAGTAAACCAGTTCTCTACTCCGCAGGTTTTTGGCTGCTTTGACTGGCTGAAGATACTGCTTCAGTGTTTGGTTAGAAGTTGGGAATTACTTAATGCCGCATCCATAATAGATTAAACACGGAGTGGTGCATTTAATAAGCCTAGTATGTTAAAGTTGCCAGAGTCAAGTGAGGCCCAGCAGCTGATTAGTTGTCCCGGCACAACAGGGTCAATAGAGGATCTGTTCATTAACAAGCTAATGTAATAGAGGGAATAAAACTCGCATGGGCTTTTGGTTCTGCAGTCAGCTCACTGTGAAGACTTGTCTCCTCTCCAAACTTCCCTCCCAACACACAAACCATGTGGCTGGGTTACATAAGGAGCAGATAAATGAGAAACAGGCTGAAGTTATCTGGGCTGAGCTGCTGTAGCAGTGAGCCTGTAGTATCTAGGTAAAGTGGAGCCTGCCTTGTCAAGAAAGTCTGGGTGAGCAGTGACTGTTCCCATGAAGCTGGTCTGAGGGTATCAAGTATCAGCTGAGGTACTCCATGCTGTGAGGTGGGCACAGGCTTAAGGTTTATTTTATAGCCTTTTAAAGTTTTATGTTCAGTTGACGCGCCAGCATGCTGGGTCCTATGTAAGCTGCAAACAATCTGAAAAACAAGGTAAAACCACAGCGCACCCCCCTGCTGCTGCAGTCACACCAACGTGTGCCAAGTGCCTTAAATTCTAAACTAAAACATCTGTAGTAAATGACCTCTACCTCTACACAATGGAGAAGAGTCATACTGTGTTTACAGAGGGCTGGATTTTTGTTTTGAGTGTTTCCAAAGTAGTGCAGTTATCGGTAGGAAGTCTGAAAATAGGGCACTATTAAGAATACTGTTACACAATACACCTTTGGCTAAGCAATCACAAACTTTCCAGCCTGTAGTTCTTACATCCTGTTAAAGCAGAAAACACTGACTAACCTGTAACACTAGCACCTGGAAACTTTGTTGGATGTACTAGTGAATCTTCAAAAAATGAGAATATTGGGGGAAAGGGGGGATTTAATTCAAAAAGGTAAAAGTTCATATATTCTATATTCACTGAACATTAAGTGAAATCTTAATTCAGTCATTGTTTGTTTTAAATTTTATGATTATGGCTTATAGATCATGAAAATCTGAAATCCAGTATCTGAAATTAGCCTAATCCAGTTCATTTCAGATTTTGCAATTAAGTACAAAACTTGTGTAAACATAAAAATAGAAGCTGTTGGTGTACCAGTGTCAGGTACAAAACTGTTGTGCCACTGTTGTTAGATTCACACTGCTGAACTGCATTGATTGTACCATAGTGCGGCACATTATCACTGAGTTAAGAAGACTTTCTGGGCCTATTAGACCAATGTCTGATCCAGCTATCGGACTAGCACATCCGTTCACAAACTATTAGAATATTTTCAAAGCTCAATTCAAAAGTGTTTATAACTTTGATATATATATTTATTTATATACTCAGTATTTATTTGGGTGCCCTTTACCAAGAATCGCTTCAGCAATGCGCTGTGGCATGGAGGTGATAAGCTTATTACACTGCTGAGGCATTACTGAGACCAAGGTTGGCTTAACTGCAGCCTTCAGATCATCTATATTTTGGGGTAAGGTATTTGTCATCTTCCTTTTGGCATCTTAACTTATAGATACTCTGGGGTTCAGGTCAGGTGAGTTAGCTGGTTAATCAACCACAGTAATAACATGGCTATTTTTGGCACTGTGGGCAGGTGCTAAGTCCTCTTCAAAAAGGAAAATGGCAATTCTCTATCAGATGGGAGTACAAAGTGCTCTAAAATCCCCTGGTAGACACCTATATGGGCTATGAAACAACCATGACGACCCCAAATCATCACAGACTGCAGGTTTGACTTGACACATTTTGAATTGTGTGCTTCTCCAGTCTTCTTCCAAAGCGTAAAACCTTGATTTCCAAATGTAATTCAAAATTTATCTCAAAGAGGACCAACACTTCAGTTATTTTTCTCCTTAGCCCAAGTAAGATGATTCTGCTGTTGTCTCTAGTTTAGGAGTAACTTGATATTAAGAATGTGACAATTGTAGCCCGTTTCCTGACTACGCCTGTGCCTAGAAGCTCTTGATGCAATACTAATACCAGCCTCAGTCCACTCCTTGTGAAGCTCTCGTAATTTCTTAAATCCAGTCCAAGTTGTTGACTTGGTTTCCAAAATGTCCCAGATTTTTCTAGGAAGGGCTGGAAAAATAGGTCTGACCCACAGATGTCCAACCTCACAACTTATTTAAATGTTCTGATGCTATGCTATGAAATGACACCTTCAGTCGCAAGATTGGGAATACTACTACAGCATCGGGAGCTGGGATGTTGTGGCTGATTGGTGTATGTTCTAGGTCCGCGAACAATTTAATGAGCTAGAGCTGCTCTCCTTAAACTGTGTGCCATTTTATTATCCCCTTCTCTGAAATGATTATGACATGTTATTGTCATTGTTTTAGTACTCTTACTTATCTCATAAAAAATCTCCAAAAACAAAAGTATAATCGTACTTTTGCAAGTAGCGAATGACTCTTAATAAAGCTGAACTCATGACAGTGAATGTAAACATATGTCATAATAAGTGAGCTAAAATAAAACTACAACCCTAATTTGCATAGATCCAACGGCAATGCTACAACGCAGGGCCACAGACAACAAACCAGTTGCCAGAGTGTGTACGTGCCGATAACTCTGATTAAATCACATATGAAACAAACACACCAGCACTCCAGTCCTCAAACTACACTTTGCTTCACCTACGTGTCCCACTGACTGCTCTTGCATCACAGGGCAGGTTGTGTGCTCAAGTGCTCTTGTCATGTGGTTCTGTTTAGTGTCATCAAATTTTCCAGCACCCAGTGGAAACCTATTTGTCTCTGGGATGGTAACCTGAGACCATGCTGTGGTGTTTAGTTGAGATGTGAACAAGTTGCACAACTGTTTCCCAGCTACGTCTTCCTTTATCACTTAAAAGGGAATTTCAAGTTGAAAACAAACTGAAGAACATCATGACCTACAATGCCTAAAGTTCAAATGTTTGCTGAAGACTTAGCCCAGTCAGCTGTACAAGCGCTTAGCTTTGGAGAAATGGCTCTAAAGCTCTGAACAGTCATATAAGAAAGACAAATAAGGCTCTATTAGCAAAAGATATTGAACAGTAAACCAAAAGTATACTTTAGATAAGGACAAGCTGAAAATAGGTGTGTAAGTGAAGTTAGCCCAGAACGTATTTCTGCAAATATAACTGCAAAACTGTTATATCTGTATTGTTATATCTTGCATTACTCAGTGACATATGTTATGTATGTTATATATTTAAACTTGTCAGAAAAAGTAAGGGAATGTGTGTTTGGTTGATTGTTTCTTAGTTGTAACAATGCATCTTGGCAATAAATTTTATACCAGTGGAAAGCTTGTTATTTCCCTTAAATAATGCCACATTTGTAAGAAAATGCATTTGTGGGTTGAGGAGCAGAGTTCAGTGTGTGGGTTAAGTTGATGAAAAACTTGCCAAATCTTCTCAGCCAATGCTAAACAGCTTACTCTGCCATAGACTCTTGTGTGGTGTCATTTATTGAATTGGATGAAGTCTGAATAAACAAGACATATTGCCAATTTAACAATTTATTCAATTATCAAACAGGGGCCTCAATAACATGTGGAAGAGCCATACAGATCCACAACAACCTGGTTCCTCATCTAATGTTGGTTACCAACTTGGGTCACTGCTGTGGGATGTTATAACATTTGTCAACCAGTATTTGTCGCAAGTCAGACAGTGTGGTTGTGTTGGTCACTCTGGCACGAACAGTACACCCAATTGGCAATTGTTGTCATCTTGGATAATAGAGTTCAGTCCGAGACCAGATCAAGTTTTTCATGGGCACAACTCACATACTCAACTCTGCTGCTCAACCTACAAATGCATTTTCTTTACAAATAGGGCACCGATTAAGGGAAAAGAAGCAGACTTTCCAACAGTATAAATGAGCCTGATTTTGCCCGATGTTTCTTCTTGTTAAAAGGGAGCTTTTCCTTCTCACTGTTGCTTAGTGCTTGCTCATAGTGGGTGGTTTGATTGTTGGTGTTCTCGCTCTATTATTGTTTGGTCTTTACCAGACAATATAGACTGCCTTGAGAAGACTGTTGTGATTTGATACTATATAAACAAAACTGAATTGAAATTAAAATCAAATTAAATATGTTGCACACAATGACTGTAACCCTTGGCTCTTCTGTGGAATTAACTGCATGCTGTTTGTGGATTTCCACTGTTTCCAACTGTTACATCACAGACTTTTTCCACTGAGGTTATGGCTAATCCAGTATGAATTTCTTTCTCGAGAATTAGTTTCTCTTAATGAATAAGTCACAAAATATAGTTTTCAAAAAGAAAACTTACCAGGACCCGAATAGTTTTCCTGTTATTCCAGTGACTCTAATATTTCCAATTTGCAATTGCATAATTCAGCTAAATTACAAAACTTACATTGATGAACCATGATTTCCATTTTCTGCATTATAAAATTGTCAGATATTGTGCATGAAATGCTTATTGTCCCACAAGGCAGAACTTCCATGGGCGAAATACTGGAAGTACAAATTGTGCACTGCAGTTTCTTAGTAGCGGTGGGAACACATACGCCCATGTAGTCACTAATCAAGCACTCAATGTTTAAACAGCAGGTGTGCTGTAGAAAGACAGAAGGCAGGTGCAGGGTATAAATGACAGATAACAGCTTATAAACTTGTTTCCACATGAGAAGTTGGTGTTTAAAGAGCATGCCGTTGGTTTGGTGTTGATTACTGCACCTCGCCCTTCTCATTCTAAGAGCAGGCCTGATGAACCTGCTCTGCTTGTGTGCACCTGTTTCAGAGTTCTCTATAAGTCTACAACATGAACAGGCAACAAAAGAGTTATATAACGCAAGGGATTTCAATGGTCAAGGCACCATTAATTATAAACAATACAATTTTGGAGAAACCTATTGTGCCACTCCTCCTCCATTAAAGGCCGTGATTATTTTAACATGCATTACCACAGCAAGGCTCTGTAGTACTTATGCCTGTGTGCTAAACTGGCCTTTCTGCGCTCCCGGCCTGTTGCCCAGTAATATAATAGATAATATTTTCAATTACATGTAAATCATTTCCAAATCACTCTATTGTACTTTTATTTACATTTGATGAAGCAGTCTACCCTTTTTTCTTTTTGGAGCTGTACTGCAAACAAACAGCCAACACGGCAATACAATGACCCGTTTTGCACTCAGTAAAAAGGAAATGTTGTACAGCATGGACACAATAGACAGACAAGGTCAGAAGGAGGGCTGCTAAACAACAGGTCCTTTCTTCACACAAGCTTTTCTCATCCTCGGCCTGCTTTCTCACTACAGTAGATACAATACATTGACACAGAGCTAACTAAGGTGGCATTTTTGCTGATACATTGTGGCACTTTGTGAACAGCAAACCAAATAGGCAGGAGAAGGAGAAGTGATTGCGGGTATGCCTTTGTGGTTTAAAGGAATGAATCCAGCTTGTGCACCTTAGCATTTTGTGTGACAGCTACAAGATTAGACAAGATTAATGAAGCAGGAAACATCCAAGTTAATATCCCTATCCCATATCAATCTCTGTGCTGAACAGTACACAACACTGTAATGGATAATGTTGTAGAACAGGGTTAAAGTGAACAAATATTAAACCATTAAATGCAGGGATCTTTAAAAACTAATTTGACCAAACACTGAGTTACTCACATATCCCTGCAAATGATCTCTTTTGTGCAGCAGCCACAGTAAAACACATTTACCAACATTTATTCGAGCACTAACAGATTTACTTAGAGGAAAGAAAAAAAAAAAAAAGAGGAAAAAAAGCCAAATGATGGCTTTGGGTAGGAAAATAAAGACAGTTTTTCTAACACTGTCCTTGACAGTCAGTGTCAGTCCTGAGGCAACAGTGTGTGGCAGAGATTCATTATTGCACTGCAGCAGTTATCCTTCATTGGTGTGGTGCAATGGGCAGAGATAGCTGTTTGCATCTGTCTGTGTGAAAAAGATGTTGACTGAGAGAGAAAGAGAATATGAGAGTGAGAGATACAGTGTGGGAGTCGGTATACAGCGAAAAGGAGAAGACAAAAACTCTGGAGAAGCACAAGAAAACGATGATGGAGAGAAAAATATTACTGCAGTGCAAAAGGCCAAAGCCTTCCTCAGTTTGAACGGCTCCAGTGCAATGTTACTGGCCCATGCGGCTGTGTGAAGGCATACGTAGGTTGGGGAGTGCACAGTTAATTGGACCTCTGCTCTTGGTTAATACACATTGGGCGTCCCTTAGCAAGGTCCTTGGCTGCACCCGCATAAATGTGTGTGTGCACGCTCATCAATGCCTATGACTTCACCTCTGCTTTGAGGTATTACCTAACAAATAATCGGGACCACATGTCCTCGCGGTCACTATCGGGGTGTGTTTACTGTAGGAATGATGTCACCGTTTTTCAGCTTTCAAATATATCTGACAACCCCCCCACCCCCCTTTTTTTGCATGTTCCACATTTGGATGAATTCCACTCTGTTCCAAGTTCGCATTATACATGCCCAACGCCAAATTTTCTTTTTTTTTTTTTTTTATATTTTTTTATATTGGGCCTGACAAAGTGTTTGTCTATGAGCAAGTTGCGGTGCAATCCAGATGTAGTGCGGCACGTACACAACTATGTTCAAAGGGTTTTAAATAAACATTCATCTAGTTGGAGTTAGCATCTGAATAAATGTCACTCCACCAGAATGAACCAAGATGGTAAATGATGGATGCAGTTTGGGGTTCAGTATGCCCAAGGACACTTGGACACATGGACTGTAGGAGCCAGGGATCGTTCCACCAACGCTCCGACTGGCAGACCACCTGAGCTCTACCAACTGAGCTCAGTCTCCCGTCCTAGTAATAAATAGGCCCAACTGTGCTTAGCATCCTTAGATTAACTTGAATGAAATCACAGTGATTCTGGGCCATGGTCAAAGTGCAAAAGTAAAGAAAGAGAAAATAGAGAAGTGGAGAAGCTCAGGCTCACTGGACTGCTTCTTAGCACTGCTATTCAAAGATGAGGAAACACTAACACGGACTGGCAGGCAGGCAGTGTTTTGTTGTTTTCTTTTTTCCTCCTGTGACACGACTCCTGCAGAAATCTGTCATTATCTGGCATTTCTGTCATGCCTCCAAACAGGACAATCAGACCAGCCCTTCAATCTGCACTGACTGAACTGTCTGTCTCAGGCTGAGCTCAACACAGCTGGACTATATATGTGGAGTTTAGCTGCACTGCATCTTTACCTGCTGAATTACACAGTAACTACAGCAGTGACAAGAGGCAACGTAAAAATATGAGTTACACCTGATAAAAGCTTGACACAGAAAGTTAAACGACAAAGACATGCTACTTAGATTGCACTTCAAAGTTTAGATTAGTCTACAAAAGCCCTTTACAAAGTCCATTAAAGACGGAAAGGCTGCACATGCTTTGATGTTCCACTTCCTCTTTAATGACTATGCACTAGTGTCTCAGAATGTAACGCAGGGAGAACATTTGAAGTGAGTGCGGTATCTTTGCGTAGCCTTCCCCACAATGGAGAGAAAATGTCTGTGTTGAATGGCAGCTAGTAGCAAGCCAGACACAAACATAACAAAGTGCAAGCTTTCAGGCTCTCCTCGCAAAAGAGAATTTCATTTCAATTGTGAACAGGGCCTTGGCCCAGGTTGCAGGATAATGACAGAGCCACCCGAGTCATGGAAACAAAAAAACAATAACAGCTGTGACGTCCTCGTCTTTTATGAAGACACAGATGCACACGTAAAAAGCAAATCAGCTAGACCACAACCCTCGGGCAGAAAGCCTCAAATTAACCGCAGCCTGCAATATGACAGGGACGGCCAAATATTGATATAAAGTTCTCACAAAGCCGCCATTTGTTTACGGCAAACAGAAATGAACTATTTTTGCCATATCAAAACGCTCTGTGTTACACAATGTAAATATATAAGTAACTTCCAAATTTAGAATGAACAACTTGTTGTTGTCTTAGCAGCTTACTGTTCGCTGTTTAAAGCAGAGGAAATTTGGCACTGCAGGGACCGTGTGCGAGGAACATTTAGGAATAAACAGGAACACATTTTCATCCGATTCCAATTGATACATTTCCTTTGATTATGCTGTGACTAGAAAGATACTGCAACTTTTTCTAATGCTCTTACACATGGGAATTCTGGTCTTTGAATAGTGTTGCCTTAAAATAATGACAACAAAAACAATAATAATAATAATGTGACAGCTATATTAATGTCTTATAAACTGACAACATAAAATGTGCTTAAGCACTTAGAGGTAAAATTGAATAATACTGATGTACAGTCTCCCCCTAGTGGTCTGAGATGCAGTTTGCGTGGATCCTGCTAATGGCAGCATTTGAAAGTAAAGGGTTGTTTAAGGAAACAAGAAACATAAGACAGAGGGGTGGTCTCACCTCCTGAGATGGAAGCGACGGTCATCCTCGCCACTGCCCGACTCCTGCAGAGGCAAACAATATTGTTAAAGAAAGCAGAATATTTATTTAACTCTTTCATCACCTTTTTCTGACAAGAGATGCTTGTATTTCAGGAAGAATAAAGATTATTTCACAACCAATGGGAGTGCGTCACATTTGATTAACTGTACATTATAGGAGCACTACAGTGGGTGGCAGTGAGGGCTTCCATGTAAAACTCTTCATCTATGACTTCACTCACAAGACAGGGCCACTACTTCAAGTGAGGCTCAGAGCAGAGACCAGGGATAAAGGCCGAAGCACACCGAGTGACCATGCCCCCGATACTCCCCACACCCTCGGGTGCTCTCTTCCCAAAACGCATGCAGTCATCCTCCCCCACCACTGGAACCAGCACAGTTTGCCGCACGCACATGCACGTGTTTTTAATCCCAGCCTTTTTTCAGTAATCCCTCACAAACTGAGGGAACTTTCTCTTTAGCATCAATCTGTCAATCCTGGGCCACTACCCAGGCCAATGCAGACATGCAGTGTGCACAGACACGCCCAGACCGAAAGATAATAAGATGCTAATTCAAGATTGATAATGGAAGATGGTGACAGGCGGGTAAGAGAAGGAAGAGCAAGTGGCTGCAGGCCAGAGCATTGTCATTTTCTTCTTGGTGTCCACAACCACAGATGTGATTAAGCCTAAAGAAGCATCTGGCTGAATGGTGCTCTCTACATCAACAGCTTATCGGCCTGCCTCCAAGGCAAAAATGTTGTGACTTGGGTGAAAAAGGAGTGCGCAGATGCATACTGCACGTACACACACACCTCTGACACAATGGCTTGCTCAGCAGATTTCAAAGGCAAATGTGAAACCAGGGCTCCCACTGCAAAGTAAGCCCACATATTCCTGATTAGTGTAGATGCTGCATATTTGTGTTTAAAACAACATAAGGTAAGAAGGAGGCTACGTGCGGATCTCTGTGGTTATCGTTCCTTTGCATGGATGTGTAGGGAGTGGTTGCATAGCCAATGAGAATTGGGAATTCATAGTGCTGCTAGGCAGATTACTGTGTACTGCCACAGTGGGGAGGCTATTCCCTGCTGGGATGTGTGGAAGTAATGCTTTCTGTATTACCACAGGGTCAATCTTAAACCTTTATTTGATCCTGTGTGGATCAGACGTTTAGAGGGCAAGCATACAGGGAAATATTCTAACTATTATGGTGCGGTGGCATCCAAGCTGCAAGCCTCATGACTGCTGAGTTCCTTCATAGGAGTTTTATTGCCAGTTCTCTCCCCATACAATGCTGCCTCTTTTCTCAGGTTTCTGCCCTCTCAGCAGCACACATCTCACAAGAGTCCTCACAAGGCTACTTCCCATCAGAAGCAGGTCTCATGACAAGCAGCTGGTAGCCTCAGCCTGCGACTCTTTTGCTGCCTGGTCATAAATTCACTAACAGCAATAAGTCGTGTGAACCATCTGTTTGGTTCAGCAAAGGCTGGACTTTATTAGGGCGTCCAAACTCTGCCAAGCAGCATCCCATGCAAATGTTAGTAACCATTAATAATAAGCCTAAAGATGCTTTTAAATCATTTTGTCTTGATGACAAATTTCCCCACCAGCATCAGCACCGGGATGTTTACTGACCATATATTTACTCCTGATCTATTCAAAAGAATTTGCACAGCTGTCCATGTGATTCTCCATCAGGCTGCACATTTTCTTCAGTCGCATGTAAACTCTGCAACGCCTTGTGATAATCAGAAGTCCTTGTCGGTATTTGTCTTCTTTTCTTTCTCAGAAAACAGCCTACCAGAGCAGTCAACATCTGTCCTCACAAACAGTACTTTGCACAAGGCATAGGTCTTATCTACTGCAGCCACGCCGTCACCCTGCACTCAAGCGCTTGAAGCCAGACGCTGGAAACCTCAGGCTTGTCAGAGGGGATAAGAGGACTGCCTTCCTGCCGGCTCTGACATGCCTGCCACACTAACCCGCTTCCCGGCCCCTTACTGTCTGTCACTCTACTAACCAGTGATCCGTTGAAGCTGTCTTGTTCTCCGGACTGCAATCCTATCCTACGTTTTACACCACAGAATACACAAACATAATGATGACTTTTACAAACACTTCAAACTGATTAAAAAAAAACATCTGTCTGTTTGTTTGTCTGTCTATCTATGTATGTATGTTGTTTTTTTGTAGTTCAGTTGATCTGAGACGACTTTGGGTTCTCCGGGAGGAAGTGAGTTAGCAAACATAAGCTCTACCTGCTAGCTTTGTCCCTGCTAGTTTCAAAGAAAGAAAAAAAAAACAACTTCACATTTAATATGAAGCTGGGATAGTGGCCTGTGTTTGGCTAAATAACTTAAAACTCAAACCTCCATCTCTTCATCTCAAAGTAAGAGCTTCCTTTAGGCTTACAGTATGGGGCTAGCGGCTAGTAAAGTTAGCCACCCATGTAGGTTGAGTACAAACTGGGCTAACGGTAGGCTCACCGTGTCACACCAGCCGAAAGTGAGGCAAAACGTCAAACCAGTTTACAGATACTCACAGACACGCAGGGGCTGGAGGTAGTGCTCGGTGTCGGAGACCGCTGGACAGTAACCAGTGCCATCCCGACTGCAGCTGCTCAGACCTCGGTCACCTCGGAGAGTGAAACGACGGGACACCGGACATTATTTTGGGCAGACACTACAGTGCACCGTGCTCCCGAGGTTATTTCAACGGAGGTTGCTTAGTTGCACCGCTTGTGTCAAGTCGCAAACAATAATGAAAGTTTTGTAACATTTAGTTTTTCAAATGAAAAGTTGTATCCAGAAACTTATAGCAACTGAGGAAAAACAAACACAGCATTTGGCTATTTACTGGAGAGCCGACAGCTGAGGGTGCACTCCTAAGACGTCGAATTACTAATGTGATATTTTTTTGATAAGAGTAGTTTTAGATACCAATTAATTCGCCCCTCTTCAAAGAGTCTAATTTT